TTTAATTTTTCCGTCAAATATACAATTATACTTGTAAAACGTGGCTATGTACATACATACATATATATAGTCAGTATATAATATACGTTTAATTTATGTATAGTATATAATGGTATAATTTACTATATTTATCTGTTAGTTGCTTGTGTTTGCGTGTGTAACGTTTTATATAACTGTATATATGTATAACTATAATTACATAGGTACATATGTATAATAATATATATTTTTGTAGTTTTTTAAGTATTACATGATTTCTTTTTTACATTTCACATATAAATTTTCCTAATTATGTACTAAATTTAGTTTTCACAATTAATTACACAAAAAATGCGCGTTTTTAATTAATATTACTTCTTATTTTATTTATCTTTTTATTCATTGAACGGTTAGAATTTTTTATTGGCCTATACCAAACAACTTTTATTGATTTTGTTTCTACAATAATAATTTTTTTTTTCAAATTTACTTATACCACGAATTTTAGCTACGAATTGTCGCAATTTTTACACATACATACACAGTAAAGTGTGAAAAAAATTTATTTATTTTTTCAAAATATTTTTCACTTAGACAAATTCTTTCTTTACTAATAAACCGTTAAATTAAAAAAAAAAAATTTTATATTAGTCTTTGTTTTTCAGTAAGCGTTTTAGGTTCATATTTTGTTCTCATTCAGCATAACAATTTTCTCGTTTGAAATTTGCTCTCCCTCCCACTGTAAACCGTGCTTAAGGTTTTCAGAAATGCTCCTTCAAACTTTTGTATATTTGTTCAAATATTATACATTTATATAATTTTTATTGAATGGGGTGAATGTGACAGTTGAAGGCATGTTAGTTTCGATTTCGACGCACAAATACATATACATATACTTCGAATAGGAAAGCATACTTTTAGGTGGTTGACAGATACTGCGCTCACATACATATGTGGAAACATACAGTTAGGCGGGTACACAAATGTGCGTAGTTGTTTTTCTTTGGGCACAGCAAATGCGGCTAAATTAAAGTTGACATGGTGGTTGGTGTTGGCATACGGAGTTTATGGTTTAGAGGGCAAGGGATAATAAAAACAAATATCTTTATTTATGTAAAAATACATAAAACATTGCAGTTTATATTTAAAGTGCACATAAGATTGTAAATTAGCATACGAAACGACATGGAATCGGAACGGAACGAATTGGAATTTGAGTGGAACATCAAAATAGTTGCAGCAACACTTCAACAATAAAAATTTGCGAAAATAAAAATTATGAAAGGTCATGAAAAGCATTTTAAAATCGTTAAATAATGTGAAACTCAATATTTAAATATGAAATGCAATGGAAATTAATATGTACGTGTATTATATAAAAAATGAACTTAATAAACTAAATAAGGAACGAAACGAGAATTAATAAACTGTGTAACGCTTCTTGGTGTGGCTAAAATGTGCTTAAATACGTCGTGGAACGAAATGGAATTGGAACGGAACTAAGTGAAATCGACACGTAACAGAGACAAAACACTAGAAAGATCCCTATTCTTTAGTGAAGAAATACATATGTATTTGTTAGTAGAAACTTTCTTTCATACTTTTAAAGCTCGGTTAAAGTGCTGTGCGCCCCGAAGTCGGGATGGAATGTTTTGAATTAAAAAGCAACAAAGTTAAAACTCGTTAAAATTTTGCCGGGTATATTAATTTCGCTGTAAAACAATTTTTTGTGCAATTAGTTTAAACGAAATACAAATTATGGCAGTGGAAAGCTTTGGAAATCATATATTCACTTTGTCTAAATGTTAAAATTGTGCGTGTTTTCATATCATGTCAAAGTTCTGCTTAACGAAAGAGTATAAAGCTTTTGAGACAATTTGGGAGTGAAACATTGATTTAAGTATTTTCTAACTTAAGTCTCGAGAGTTAGCGCCGAAAATGTCAATGTGACCTGCCCACAAACCCCGAATACGCTCACCACCAACTGCCAACCACCGATCCTCCTCTACTCTTCATATTTAGTGCCTACGACCACTATTACTACCGCCACCATCGCTGCTGCCCGACGCGCCATCTGCCGCCCAACGCTTACGACGCGATTTTTGCATTTGCGCCGCAACACGACTCGTACTCGGCGTGGCCTCAAAGCTCGCATACATCTCTACCTCGTTATCTAATGCGTCGTAGGTTTCCGTGGAGACGCCGCGCACAGATATCGCGATCGCACGTGCATACTGTTCTTCTTCGGCTTCGTCGTCGCCATCGGCATCACGATCATCACTTGTACGTCTCCTCATGACGCCACCGCCACCGCCACCGCCACCACCTTCACCATGCTCGAAATCAAAACTAACATTCTTACTATCTCATCCACCCCGATGCACTTGTACCGTCGCCTCGGCTGATTCTTGGCTGCGCAACTGCTGCCGGTACTCGTCCAGCTCCTGCATGCGATAGGTGCCTAGGTTTACCTGCATCATAAGTGTCTCCATGATGCGCTCATTTTTGAGTGCTTTCGAGGGCAAGACCACCGTCAAGAGTTCGCTCGGTGATATGCGACACAGATTGAGATCGCGCGTCAAACGTTCCATAATGCATTCGAACTCGAATTGTGTATCCTTATTGGGATGATTTTTCATTTTCGCCACCTTGTTTTTCGCCCACATCAGCATCGCTTCGAATTTGCGTATCTCAGGTGTTTGTAATTCTCGATTCATAATCATCTGCACCATCGATTCGGAGAGATTAAGATATTCGGGACATTTGAAGAGCGCATGCGCTTTGTTCTCCACAAAGGAGAGTATCATGTTGACCAACTCGGAGGCGGACGTGTAGCGCCAGTAGTAGTTCTCCAGCGAAATCAGCATCGGGCAGACAACCTCGATGCGCAGGAACTGTTTGCAATGATGAAAGCAAGCCTGCAACAGCTCGGGTAGATCATAGTGCTCCGCAGCGCATAGCAGACCTACAAGAACCCCAAAAAATAGATACATTCATTATATTGCGCTCATTTTGAAATAATTTTCGGATGCTTACCTGGTATGGAGACACAGGTCAGCGGACACGTGCCCGTATGTAGATAATCCAACAGCACTCGAAATGTGTCTGGATCGAACTCGATGATGTTGAACTCGGTCTGCGCCAACTTCGCGCGATCGACTTTTTGTGCATCGGCACATACCGATAGCCGCGGCACGGCCAGCTGATTATTGCCCGGTTTATCCTTATCCTTGTCTTTGCTGTCTCGATCTGCAGATATAGAAGCAAAGCAAGCGAAGAGAAACGAAAACAAAAATTGCGCACGAACCGATAGACGAAATGAAATTCATAAAAGGACATAAGTGGAACCGATGATTCGTAAAAATTAAGCGTGAAGTGTGGCAGTGTGGAAGTCGTGAGAAATATGAAATATTTATGACAATGATATGAATGATAAAAAGAGAGAGAAAACAGAAATGAAATGTAATTTTATGCATTATGATGATTTATTGTTAGTTTTTTGATAATGACCATTTTTATTGTATAAGAAAGTAAATAGCACAGATTCACGTACAAATTACAACATGAACGGTGAGGTGAAAAAGTGGCAAAATGTGTGAATTTGTGAATAAAAACACAGTAAAGTAACATATAAGCACGGTGAATATGTACTTATAAAGAAAAATATGAAATGAGCACGATTTGTTGTGGGATGTGAGTTTGATAAAACATTTTATTAGAGGAAATTTAGTTTTTTAAGTGTGGTGAAACATTAAAGGTGTTGTGAGTTTTTCAAAATATAAATTTTATGATGCGGTTTTTATATGTAAATGTAAAGTATTAACTTGGAACAGTGCAAAGTGATATGCAGTTTGTTATATCAGATTTTTTTGTCCGATTATAACCGTATATGATATAAATGATATAATTTTAATTAAAGCGTGATATTGAAAATTTGAAGTTAGATTGGAATTCGATTTGTTAAAATCAAATGCATGGTTTTGGCGCAAATATTTTGTTTATCAAAATGTGTGGGGAATTTGATGTTATTATATTTTCGACATGTTTTAAAGTTAAAGTTTTTTTTTTTAATATGGCAGTTTTTATGGAAGTAAATTTTTTTGCATGTTTTTTTGGCAATGTGTGGTGAGTTTTGTGGTGAATATGTTTTTTTTTTTTTAAATTTCAACAACGATGTGCCATATAGTAAAATGAATAGCAGGCTCGGCAAAATGTAGTGAATTTAACATGTGGTTATGTGTTTGTTTCATTGGCGTATTTGGTATATTTGGTGTAGCATTATTTGTTATCGATTTTTTTCATTTCGCACAATTTGAAATTTTCGACATTAAGTTGGTGGTGAATATGATTCATAGCATTTAACATAATATTAAGAAAAGATTTAGCATGACAAAGTTATTACGAGATTTGCGCACAAACAACAAATATATTGATGAAAAATTTTGTGTGGTGAATTTCAAAATAATTTTAAAATATACATAGATCCATAAAAGAATGTTAATAAATTTCGTAAACAGTTTGTTTGAGAATTAAAAGGCATTCGTGGTGAATAAAATGTTCGTGGTGAATAGAGCAGACCGATGTGTACAATTTTAAAATGCATTCAAATTTAAAATAATAATTTTTTCAATACGAAATCAAAATTAATATGAAACTTGAAACACATCACATTACAAACGGCAAAATGTGCCGTTGTTAGTGGTGAGTTTCAAAATATCGATTATACAAGCATTAGTTAAATAGTAGTATAAGTTCGAGTATATTTATATATAAAAAAGTAGTTCACAAAATACGAGTTCCAAGGCATTGGAGGCACCATCACAATAATCAACGAACGTTCAAGGTGTTTATTTTACACGGCAGACAGGGAAGATACATTACGAATTGGTTCAACACACGCACAGAGAGTAGAAGAAAGGAATAAAAAGAAAAAAAAAACACATCGATATATTTGTATTCATGTGGACTGAGACTCTTACTGGAACAATCCGTTGAAGAAATCCATTTCTTTTTATCCTCCGGATTCAGTTGATTCGTATTCTTATTACGTATCGAACGACCCCAACCGGCGGTGATGGTACCCAGCCGGCTAAAAGCGCGCTTCACCATAGGCGATGATGGCACACTCTTCGGCCGTATCGAATCGGAATCGGGCACTGTGAGATAGTTGTTGCTTTTCGGCTTTTGATTTTGCGGTGACACGAGTGAGGGTGCGGGGCGTGCGAAAATTTCGGCGACTGGTATTTGTGGCGAACCAAAACCGGTCTGTATGCCGTAAAGCATTTCCTTTTAGAAAAAACAAGCGATAGCGATTAATATGGCGTTGTGAGTAGCATAAAGTTGAGAGAGCGGGAGTGAGTGCCATACCACCAGTTACGCTCTCCACTTACCTGAAAGACACGACTGCGCACACCCAATATCGCGCGTACGCCTATGAAACGCGCCTTCTGCTTCGATTGCCCCACCAGGAAGACTACATCGAAGAGATGCGCATTTTGTAGGCACGACGGTTCTTCGTTTAAGAATACACGTGTAAAATCTTTCGCTAACTGATCGTAGTCTTCAAATTGATCGCGCACCGAATCCAGCAGCGGCGAAGAGGGACGCATATGACCTGTGAAGGCGAGAGAGAGAGAGAGAGAATTAGAGAGTGTGATGGAAAGAAAAAGTGGAGTTTTTGGAAGTGCTACGGTGAAAAATAGCGGTGTAAAATTAAAGGTTAAAAATTATTTGAAAACTAGTTGAATAATTTTTTGAGAACTAAATAAGCTTTTAGGGGGTTAAGCGCGGATAACTTATAGATCAATGGAGGCCATATTTTTATATATTGATCAGGTGTTATTATTTCCAATTCTATAAGAAGATAAGAAAAATTTGCAGAGCTAAGGTGCGACAAGTTCCAAGCAATGCATGCAGGCTGCAGTAAAGAGTTAGAAAGCTCCCAAAATATCTTTGTAGAATATTCTTCTTATAGAAATGAAATTTGAACTCAAAAAATATATTTCTTTTTTGTTAATAAAATACATATATTTGAAAAAAATATTTCATTCTGAATTATAATTATAAAACTTTCAAAAGGTTGAAAGCTTTCAGAAGCTTAGTACAATATAGGAGAGCTTTCAAGCTCTCCATCTCTCAATATTTTTTTTACATAATATCAACAAATTTTTTTTTTAATTTTTATACACTTTTGGTTGCTACTATATCGTATTTTTCATTAAAAAGGTGTGAAAAGATCATATTGCAGGCGAATGAAATGTCTACTAAAATTTTTATAAAGAAAATAAGTACTAAAAGTATG